GTGTGTGTGTGGAGAGGCGTGTTACTGCAGAGGAAAAGGCATCTGGAGGCACAGAGGTGACTGGAGGGCTGGCGCCACTGGGGCTGGAGGCTGGGGCTCCCCTTCGGATCTGGACCTCACGGGGCCTCTTGGTGAAGCTGTAGCCACCTTCGACCAAAGCCAGTGTTAGACGGCACTCAGGTCTGGCAGCTGCTGGCCTCATTTTCCCAGGGCTGGTCCCAAGGGCATGGTCATCTGGCTGTTGCACTCCCACACGTAGTTCCCGGCACACCCGCTCTCCCACCCAAGGAAGTATGTTGGAAAGCATGATTTTAAAAGCGATCTTTTTATATGGAAACCATTAAGTCTGATCTTTTCCTTTTTAAGCGCCTCACCCTCCCACTGCAGTGCTTTATTAATAATAACAAGTTCTAGTGGCAGGCCTCCCGAAAGATCAAGACAGCCCGATGTGTCACACACAGACACTGGGACTGCAGCTTTAGATGCTCGTCCTTCTCAGGGCTCCATCCTGAGCTTTTTGTCCACAGTCTCTCTCTCTCTCAGCTTGTGGTGCTGTGAATTTACTATTTGATGCTATTCTGAGGAAAGAAAAATTAAAATTGTAATTTATTAGCATGAATTTTACCGTTGATATCTCTATACTGTGCAATGCCAGTTTCCCAATGTAAGCATACCAGCAGTTAAGTGCTGTGCAGAATCTCTGAACATCACAGAAATTGCATTTTGTAGCTCACATATGCATATGTATTTAGTCCTTTACCAGATCAGTGTAAATGCCATGCAAACCAAACTCAACTATTTTTACTTCCCTTCTTGATATGTACACAGTCTCTACTAACACTCTCTCCCTTTGGCTGACAGATAGAAAAGACAGTCCAAACAGAAAAGGAACTGTGGGGTGTCTTATCTTTCCTCCTCCTGCCTGTCATCATTGTCAGTATACGTTGTTAGCTACTACCGAGAAGTAACAGGAGTGAAAAGGACAGGACAAGGCTCTTTGGTTGGTCATGTTTCTTAAAATACCCTGTCTTCTTTCTGTGGCCTAAACAATTTTGGTTCAAGCAGAAGGTATGGCCTGTCTGGGTTGTCAGCTCTCTGTTCACTGAGTCCTCAGTGCCACAGGCTGACCGTGTTATCCCTGAGTCCTGCTGAACTCCCATGCATCTGGTCCACCCGGTGCTGTGCTCAGGGGGCAACCTGGATGCTATACCTGAATGAGGCAGCAAAGACAATGAACAGGCACATTGCTCCCATCTCTCTGCTCACAACATGCTCCATCGTCCATCCGACTTCATTTACAGAACAAAAGTCAAAGATAAAATTATTAAGGATTTCAAGACGGTGACAGCAGAAATTTAAACCAAGCTCAGGACCTGTTTGAGCCCAGACCCTGCCTGGTTATCTGGTCACATCCCCAATGTAGCCGGCCCTTCCCATTGCCTCTACGCCTGCCACTCTGGCCCTGATGTTCCTTCAGGGCCTGCTGTGTTCCTTCCTGCTGAGGCCCTATGGGGTGCTGGCCCCACCGCCTGGCACTCACTTCCCTTCCTCGCGGCCAGGCTGTGCTCTTCTGTCTCTTCCTGTGGTCTCAGCTCAGCGTCACATCCTTAGGTCACATTCTGAGGTCACATCCTTAGGTTAGCTCTGCCTGCCGACAGGTCAGGACTCTCCTAGCACCACCCACCTACCACAGTCGCCACTCTTCACTTAGGTATGTGATTCTCTGGGGGCTCGTTTCCCTCCCCTACAGGACCGCCAGCAGCTTGTAGGCCAGGGCTGGTCTGGTTTTCTTCATCACTGTTTCACCAGTGCTGGGCACATAGTCCCTAATAAATATTTACAAGGTGAATGAATGGATGAATAAATGAATGAAAGTCTTTGCAGCAGGAACCTAGGTGTCAGATGAAGAGGTGGGATAAATGAGAGTGACATGAATTCCAGGTTTTGTTCCAAGGGGGACTAAATCCTGTCTCCGTCTGAACCGGTGAAAAGTAGGTGAGCATTGTGTTGCCCTGGTCAACTGTCTCTTCCACTAAGTGATGAGTGCTTAGGAGTGTCCTTATGTTTTCCGGTGTTCGAATCATTTTCTTTGTGTCTCCAGGCCCAGCATCGTGCCTGGCACTTCGCTCTCAGACACTGCAGGGTGTATCAAATGGAATTGAGCTGAATTGAGTGAGATGAAAATATGTCGCCCCGAGGTTTACTTCATCTCACCCTCCCCTGTGCCTCCTCTTCCCCCTCCTCTTTCTCCTTTTCCTCCTTCCTCTCCTTTCCTCTGGTGAAGGATTTCTGAGTCTTGAGAACTACTTTAATTGCAATCAAGTGTTTCCAACAGAAAATTGCCCTCTTTTATTTTTGGTTTAACGGGTCTCTTCAAAGAGAAATGGTCTGATTAGTCTTATAATCGTGGCAGTGGTTGGGCACTTCAGATAATGTCCGAGAACCAGTTCAGACATTTTCGGTAGTAATATTCCTCTATTGGCATTGATCTTCGGATAGAATCACAAGGCAGGCACTTTAGAAGTTCATCCAGTTAAGCCCCAGGTAATTCCGAGCAGAAATAGCTGGAGGATGGGATGAAACCTGTCCTCCTGCCCCGAGGGCTGCAGAGCAGCTCTGTCGGAGAGGCAGCAAGGAGCTGCTGGTGATCCCGAGAACACTGCCTGCTTGTTAGAGCCTGGCCCACATCTGTCTCTCCTGTCCATTACTCCACAACTCCATTTGAGAGATGGCCAGGAGGGGATGTAGTGAAAATGGAGTGTTCATAATGAAATTGAGGATCAATGAAATCATAAAAAATCAAAAGCCTAAAGGTAAGTTTGTTATCGATTGGCCATCTCAGAAAATATAGTTAGTGAGAGATCAGGGCATGCTTCCTACATGTAACACAGGGGATTTCTCCCTGAGTGCGGCTTGAATGGGGATATAGAATGGGACGGGAAGCGGTCCCCACAGTGGTCCCTCAAAGGTTATGGGGCTTCCCAGGCCAAGTGGCTCAGTTGGTGGGAGCGTCGTCCTGTACACCAAAAGGTTGCCGGTTCAATTCCCAGTCAGGACACAGACCTCGTTTGTGAGCTTGATATTTGGTCCTCCTTGGGTGAGGATTAAAAATAAAAGTTATGGGGCTACTTGGAGAGGGTGCAGTGAAATAGACAGGGCATGGACTTAGAAGTCAGCCACATCTGGGTCTTAGACCACCTTTAGCTCTGTGACCTTGACCAAGTAATGACCTACCTCTCTGATCTGTTTTCTTTTTTTAATTTGTACAAACTGGTATAAAACCTCCGCCTTGCAGGTTTGTTAGGAAGATTGAATGAGGTCGCCTGAGTGGGGTAGGTACCAAGCTCAGTACCTGGCACAGAGCAGGCATGCAGTCATGTTATCCCTTCTTCTCACAGTGTCACTTTGAAGCAGTGGGGCAGGTGCCTGGTCACCTTGAGGTTAGGGCCCCCCTAAACTGTGTACCCTAGGTGCCTCACTGGGGTTCCAGCAGTGCAGCTGGGGCAATGTCAGACCAGGGTTGGGGTATCTCAGGGTAGGTGCCCTCCTCCCAACACTATCTCCTGGATCATTTTACAAGTTACGTAATTGAGAGCCAGAGAAGCAATATAATTCGACTAAATCTTGGAGTAAGTGGCAAGCCTGGAATGTGAATCCAGACCTCCAGACCAAGCCTGCATTTAATTCCTTGCTGCCCAGGCCACGTGACACTCACACACCCCTTTGCACTCTGAACGGCCTTTCTGGACACCTAGACATTGTCTCCCCAACAAGTCTGTAAAGTCCCTTAAGACAGAAGGGAATGTGTTTCAAATTTTCAGCACCTCCCAAGGCACACAGTACAGGGCTTACTTGCAGTCAGGTTGCAAGAAACAAATATCCACCTATTGAGACAAGGAAGGTATATTCATGGCCTTATTATTTTAATGCAGAGAAATAGTTATAATACACATTAACCCAGCTGGGAGGGAGAAATGCATTAATTTCACAACATGTTCAACCCTTTAAGAAGTTAGCTTCTCGAGCTCCACAGGGATTCTAGAACTCGCACAGGCTCACCCCTACTGTTTTGAAATAAAATTGCATCTCAGAGTGGAGTCCCTCTCCCCACAGGGAAGCGGTGGGTGGAGAGACATGCAGGCGCGGGGGGAGTGTGGCTGCAGCAACGTGGAGTGTGTAAACCTAGAGCAAAGGACAGAGCAGAACAGTGTGGCTCTCGGTTGGCGAGCAAACAAATCACCTAGAGACCCTGTTAAAACACAGATTCTGACTCGGAAGGCCTGGGTGGGACCTGGGCATCTGCATTTCTAACTAGCTGCCAGGGACGCTCATGCTGCTGGCTCACAGCGCACATGGTCAGGTAGCAAGGATGTGGTCACAGGACCAAAGGCTGCGCACACTTGGGCCTTTTCCTCCTTTCCTCTGTAGTCATTTGCCTTTTGACTATGGGCAATTGTTTCATATATATATTTTTCTATTGATGATAGAGGAAGAGAGAGGGAGATAGAAACATCAATGATGAGAGAGCCACTGATCAGATGTCTCCTGCACGCCCCCCACTAGCGATGGAGTCCGCAACCCAGGCATGTGCCCTGACCAGGAATCGAACCATGACCTCCTGGTTCATGGGTTGACGCTCAACCACTGATCCACACTGGCCAATGTGGGCAAGTTTTTAGTGTCAGACTGGGCAGAGGGAAACCTGCTCAGAAAAGTGGGAAACCAGGATCACCAGCCAGTCCCGCACGTGGCTCTCCCCTTTCCTTCTCCCAGATACACTTGATGGGTGACACTTCCATGCGTGAATCACTTCGGTTTTACCATCCATGAAATGAACACATTGGGCTGGGTCTCTGGAGGCCTCTTCTGGTCTGACAGTTCTGGGTGGAAGAAATGGCCTGGAGGTGTTAGCTTTGCAAATCTGGTGCGAAGGAAGCTCCGTCTGCAGTCGGGCAGTTCTCAGGATCCCGGCTCACTGCTCCTCTTTCTTCCCTCTGCAGGGGAGATTTGTGCGTTCAAGATCCACGGCCAGGAGCTGCCCTTTGAGGCCGTGGTGCTCAACAAGACATCGGGAGAGGGCCGGCTCCGTGCCAAGAGCCCCATCGACTGTGAGCTGCAGAAGGAGTACACATTCATCATCCAGGCCTACGACTGTGGCGCGGGGCCCCGGGAGACAGCCTGGAAGAAGTCACACAAGTGAGTCGCCTGACACAGTTCCTGCACACCCCCCCACACACACACACACTCTTGCCCACCATCTCTGTCACACACTACTCTACAGACATGTGTACCCAGTGGCCATACCATGGTGCTCCAGCCTACACAGCTGTTGGCCAGTTCCTAGGCCACTGCAGGCACTAGTAAGGGGCACTTTCTCCACCTGAAATCCTCTACCCTCTGCTTCCCAGGGAGACAGCTCTGTTCCACCCTCAGAACTGAGTGCAGGTGTCACTTCCTTGGGGGAGCCTTCCCTGAGCCAGCCCAGCCTGCAGACTTGTTGAGAGGTTGAGACCTTTCCCTGGTCTCTGCCATGCCACATGCTTCTCTGTCCTAGCAACTCTTCATGTTGGGTTGTAACTCTCTCCCTAATGGACTTTGACTCAGAGACTAACAGAGTAAGAGTACTTAAATTCTTACTCATTGGAGGAGTGAGTGAACAGATGACGGATTGATGAGGGAGAGGAGAGACAGTCCAGAGGAATGCTGTTGTCAAGGGCAACAAGGAAGGTCAATGAATGGGGAGGAGTTGCTCTGGGGTGAATTCATCGCAGGGGATCAGGACGAGGGCCGGTAGAAGGGTCTCCAGTGAGATGGCAGACAGAAGACTCAGACAACAACTGCCTGACTGGCTTGTGGTTTCTCCATTTTCTTGGTGTTGGGGCCTGAGTCAGTGTCCATGGGCGGCGTGGAAGATGGTACAATTGTTTCTTTACCACCATCTCTTCTTGTCTGTGTGTGGTACCAGGGCCGTGGTCCATATCCAGGTGAAGGACGTCAATGAGTTTGCTCCAGCCTTCAAAGAGCCCGCCTACAAGGCTGTGGTGACCGAGGGTAAGATCTACGACAGCATCCTGCAGGTGGAGGCCGTCGATGAGGACTGCTCCCCCCAGTACAGCCAGATCTGCAACTATGAAATTGTCACCACCGATGTCCCTTTTGCCATTGACAGAAATGGTGAGTGTCCTGAGAGGACCCCAGTGGGGGCAGGGAAAGAACCCCCCCCCATTCTGAAGGCCAAGTGGGGGCCTGAATATACTCAGCAGGCAATGCCTCCCATGCCATCCCTGATCTAGGCTCTATAACCCAGAACTCAGCCCTGCTCTGGAGAGATGGCATGGCATTATTAGCAGCCCAGCCAGATATAAAACACCCCAAGGCACCTACGCAGTGGGTACAGGCTATAGAGCTCACAAGGCCACTCATCTGCACACAGATTGGTTTTCTGGTGGAATTTTTCAGTTGTCATCTAGACATGAGTCATGCCCTCAACTCGGCCATGTGTGCATCCCTTTCTTACATAACCAGTTGTAACATCACCTCACACAACAATCTGTTTCCGGCTCCTAAACAAAGAGAAGGCGGAGATTTCTGAAACACCTTCTAAGCTGTAGATCCATTCATGAATCTTAAAAGGTCTTGTCAAAGTCCTTTGAGAATTTCTACTCTACTGAGAATGAAGGATGGAAGAACCCTCCCACAACATCCCAATCCCAAACTGAACTTACTGAAGTAAAAACAGTCCTAATAAAGCCTTGTGGACATTTCTCCATCACCATTAATTAAAAACTCATTGTAGTGTAAACATGACAGCCAGAGGCCCAATCAACTCAGCCCCTTTTAACTGCAATTTTCAATAACTTGATATCAATCAAATGAAAATTATTTGTCAAGTATATTATTTCATTATTAGCATGAGTGTATGGGTTCATGTATATTACCCCCTTTGTTTCAAATAGGATTTAAGTTCTGCACAAAGACTCAAAAACAGCAAAACCTGAAGTTCGTCCACTCTGTAAATAATTATATTTATTCAGTGCCAAGCACTGTGCTTGGAACTGGGAATGGAGATAGAGTAGGACCTAAAACAGACATGGGCATGTCCACATGGAGCTTACCATCTAGTGGGGGAAAATTCAGAATAAAAGATACAAAGTCCGGTGGCATAACGGTTGGTATGCAAAGCATGCCATGAGCCAGGGCTGGGCAACAAATTAGCTCTGAGCTTCCTGGTAGCCAAGACCTAGAGGGAAATATCATCATCACCTGCTTGCGAGTCTTCAGTGATTCCAATGCTTCTCGATGTTGAGACCAGGGAGAAACCGGCCCCATAGAGTGTCTTCTGCCTCCCGAGAACTGCAGCAGATTCCAGAAGGGAAGGAAGCCAAGGAGAAACCCTCCTCCCTGACCTCCAGTCGTCTGTGATGTGTCTTGTAAGAGGAAATCAGTATTCCTAACAGAAGGCAGTTTCCTTATAAAATGCTAAAATACCTGGACGTTACCAGATGCTGATTGTGTAGGACACCAGATCAATGCATAAAAAAGTAAGATATAAAATGCTAGACTTCAATTAACGTTTGGTTTGGGACTAAGAAATAGATCATTTCGACTAGTAGAGCGTGTCAGAACTGCTCTCTGATAGCTTTTCATACAGATGGGTGGCCCATCCCCACCACACAGACTCGTATCTCACAACACACACACACACACACACACACACACACACACACACACACACACACAGACCACTTCATATGAACAACTCTTTTGTATTTTTTCTGTTCCTCCATAACCAGCTGTTGGGTCTATGTCTGCAAAAACTAGCATTTGGGGAGTGACAAGTCCCTCATGAAGAGCAGGACTAGAGAAGGGGGTGTCAGTGATGAGTGGTCAAGCTCCCCTTGATCCCCTGCCTTAGTCCTGGAGAGCCACAAGCCAATGAGAGATGAGATGCAAATTCTTTCATCGGAGGGTAAACTGCCCCAGTCATGGAGATAATTACTCACCTTGATGAGCCATTTCACTAACATATGCCAATTTATTTCCCTCACTGTCTCATTAAAAGTGAGTAATGGTTCTTTGCCAGGCCTCTGCCTCCAACATTGGTTTACAACGTAAGATGAAGAGGAGAGTGGGCACTCCCCGGGAGTGTGGGCCCCTGACAGTGAGGTTTACAAAAAACAGTTCTCCAAGTAATGAAGGTAGGACCCAGGGGCAGGCACAGAAACAGCTCCCATTCTAATGAGCTTCCCAATTGGCTCTTGTCCATCACTCCTCCAGCGACCTTACAGGCTCCTTGAAGAAGTTCTTTGCATGCATATCAGAAAAAGTACTACTGAGTTGGGGCCCACTCACTGAGACTGCAGGGCTTCAGGTAGATGGCTCCTGCTCCCCTCCTTCCCCCCAACCTGCCAGGCTCTTTGTGAGGGAAGGAAGGGGAGCAGGGCACAGGGAGGACAGAATACAATGTGGAATCAGAATGACCTGTCTTAACTGAAGACTCGACCTCTTTCAACAGAAGTCCTCAGCCTCCATCCCCTGTGAAATCAAAGCAGGAATAGTTCCTGCCTCCCTGTGGGGTTGTGAGGCCTCAGGGAGAGGCAGTGCCCGGAGCTAATGCCTGCAGGCACATAGGGAGTGCTCGATTCATGGTGCCATGATTACTTAGGCATTTACTGGGGGATTGGGACATGATGGTTACTCACTCACTCCCCATGGGTTTCCAGGCTGAAATTAGAAACAGGTAACTCTGAGCTGGTGACATCACCCACCTCCTGGGAAGTTCTAGATCGATTACAGATGGCTGCCAGGCCCCCATCTTCTGGCATTTGGCTGGTCTCTCAGAGATCAGTAGGGCCTAGATGCTCATTTCCATTGAACAGATGGAAAAACTGAGTCCCCAAAGCATAAAGCGCTTGCCTGCCAGCACCTATCATGCAGGTGGCAGAGTTGGGACTAGAGCAGCCATGGGCAAACTACGGCCCGTTTGAAATGAATAAAACTAAAAAAAAAAAAAAAAAAGACCGTACCCTTTTATGTAATGATGTTTACTTTGAATTTATATTAGTTCACACAAACACTCCATCCATGCTTTTGTTCCGGCCCTCCGGCCCAGTTTAAGAACCCATCGTGGCCCTCGAGTCAAAAAGTTTGCCCACCCCTGGACTAGAGCCCACGTCACCCCCCCTCCCCCCGGGTGTTGGCCCCAAGGCCTTTCCACCAGTGACATCATCGCTCTCCTTACTGATATTTTGACAGGAATGCATGGCAATGGTCTTTAAGTTCAAAAACACAAAATTGCATCTTAATCCTACATCCATCCCTGCGCGCGCACGTGTGTGTGTGTGTGTGTGTGTGTGTGTGTGTGTGTGTGTGTGATCCTTGACCAGTTGCTTAACCTTGCTCAGATCCTCATCAGTAAAATGGGAATTAAACACGTTGCCCATGAAAGGGGTGGATAAACAGCAAAGGAGGCATTCATCAGAGCTTTGCCACAGCCAGACTCTCAACCACGTTTGAGACTGACCACAGAGGGTACAGCGGGGACTCAATGACACCCACTCACCACTGGACAGACTTCTCTGATTCTCAGGGGTGCCTGGTCTCAGCCGAGTTCTCTGCCAGCCGCTGCCCACAGAGTAATGGGGCTGATGCCTCTGAGTGAAGTATATCCTGGAGTCTGTGTGTTCTTACAGTAAATGAAAACACTTCTTTCCCACCTGAATAGAAGAGTAGCACAAGCCCTCGTGGGAATTTTGGAAAGCATAGAAAAGTGTGAAGAAGAAAATCAGTCACGTACAATCCCACCACAGATAACCACTAGTAAACATTTTTTTAAAAGGTAACCACTATTGACACTTTACCAGTAGTTTTCTGACTTTTTAAATAAAAGCATGGCCCCACATCTCTTGCTTTTCTTTATCCTCCCATTTTTTGCTTCACATTCGATAACATGGATTTTTTTCCATCCTTAAAAGTGCTTCATAATGACCGGTTTCAGTGCTGAACAACACTCCATCTCACGCAGACTCTTATCCTTAGCTCTCCCCTGCAACCAGACATGCTGTTTCTCTTCTATTTTTTCGAGGTAATAAATAATGCTGCGATGGACCTATTTTCACATGTATTTACAATTTTTCACAATAAACATCTGAAGTTTTTCTGGAACCGATTTTTAGATGTGGAATTGCATGCCCCACAGGTATGAATAATTGCAAAGTGACTGGCCCATATAGCTTTCCAAAAGGGTTGTTCCAAGTTCAGGTCCAGGGGAGGGAGTGCGCAGGTCACTGTGCTTGCCTCATTGCACCCTCCCCACCTGAGTTTTAAAAAATTGCCTTCACCAACTTGCAAGGTACAGGCTAACTGTTCTTTGAGAGTTAGCTGGACAGGGGAATAGGCCCCAGGGGCAGCCATTCACCTGGACTAACTGTGGACTCAGCTAACTGAGAAAGCACTACCAGGAGAGATCACTCATATGTGAGGGGGGAAATAGAATTGTAACAGAAGCAAAACGGATGGCTTCTTCCGAGCTATCGAAATGTGCTAAATGGGTGTCTTATCCAGATGTTGCCCTCCCCACGGGATGGTGGGTCCCAACATTGCCTCTCATGGTGACCCACTGCTGCACATCTGTGCTCTGAATCTTATCCTCACAGGCCTGAAGGTGGTGGTGGCGGCGGAGAAAGTAAATTAGTTTCTCAGACACTTTCATTAAGACAGTTACGGGAGAGGAGCGGCAACAAATTGAGCCCGGGATTGCTGGCCCGTGTGTTTATTTTTCTAGCACAATCAATAGTGTTTGGTCTGCTTAATGTCACACGGATTGTAAACCCTAAGCCTTCCTCTTCTCAGAGACGCATCTTTAGAGAGCCATTTCACTTGAAAGAAAGAGAAAGCTAACACTTTTTGTTGAAAATTCAATCTGATGTCGCTGAAACCTCCTTCTCACGGTTATATTCCGGTGCCTGCACCTGCAGAATCCCTCCCCTGTGATAACTGTAACCACAAATGAGTTTGTTAAGGGACCCCCGAGGGAGTGTTACCTACCCGATTCTGAGCCGTCCCAGACCTGTAAGGGCTGCACGCTGATACTGAAACAAATATTTGGGGGGAAATGAAAAGGATTCTGAATACCAGCCATAAGGCCAAAAATACCTCAAACCCATTTTCATTCAGAGATTTTTGACCGACTTTGTCAAAGTAAATCTTACTTCAAATCCGTGGCTGCAGTTGCATTTTTAGAAACAATCCAGAGAAGGTAGCAGAACAAATGATTCGAATGCTTGGTCCAATGTCATGGGCAAGTTCATCCCTCCTCACCACCGCTGGCCTCCACTCCCTCCTCCTCCTCCTCCTCACAGGCACTCACGTTTATTGCACCTGCTCCTGGACTACTACTGAGTACTATTTAAGACTGGGTGACTGGTGGGTCAACTTGTCTGATCTTTAAAACATTCTGTGACTTTTCTAATTCCCCAGGCTTTCTTGCCTTCGTCCCTGTTATCTCAGTTCACATGAGCAATAATCAGTTGGAATGGAAGAAAGCTCATTAGGTAGTTTTCCCTTAGTTTGGATGAAATCTAAAAAATTTGTGTGAGTCAGCCATTCCACACTTGTTTATTTGCTTGTTAGTTTGTTTTGCCTTTAATTTCCACGTTCTTAATTTCACTTCTGGTAAAGGATGATGATAGCATTTGAGTTCTAATTTGCTGTCAGCTCCACCATCAGGGGAAAAAATGCAAGAATGAAATCAGTCTCAACAAAGGAAGACTTGCACCTCTTGGAATCCAAAACTAAAAATTATTCAATGCGCATTGGGCCTATCATTAGTTTCTTGGAACCAAAATGGTATTTTAGCAAAAATCGTCAATTAAAGTTTTGCTTGTTATTTATCAAATATTTATTCCTGAATCATAATCTCACACCCACGGGGATAAAAACACACAAATGGCTCATAAGAAAACGGTTTGGTCTTTCTGGGAGAAGAAAAATGTCTTTGCCACCAGGGCAAGGAATCGGTTATTCTGTGCAGCTTTGCAAGAGAGGTCACACGTTTTCTTATTGATTTTACTTCCTATTTGGTAGCAAAATAATGTGAGAAGAGGCAGTGAACATTCCTGGCAATGAGCCCAGATGTTAAAAAATATGTGTCAGGACATTTCTGAATTCCATCTTTTTTCCCAGAGATTTCAGGGCAGATGAGCTCTGGGCCTGACATCAGGGCCGCAGCCGCATGGGGCACTTAGAGAGAGAGTTTTCCAACAACCCATTACTTACACACACAAACTAGTCAGGTCCCAAATGCGTGCTTGGAATTCGAAGCAGCCCTGCCCCACAGCTGGGGTGGCTCCAGTCAACTGATCCTGGAGTCTGCCACCAAGGAACAAGCAGGCTGCGTGTGGAAGCCATGGCCTCCTGTACCCTTGACCTTAACCAAGGGGTAGGGCAGGGGCCCATTTCATTCTGGTGGAGGTTGGAGGAGTGGGGAAGGGATGTGGGAGAACTGCCGCGTGCTCAACGTGATCTGAAACAACGCTGAATGTCTCTGTGTCCTCAGGCAACATCAGGAACACCGAGAAGCTGAGCTATGACAAGCAGCACCAGTACGAGATCCTGGTGACCGCCTACGACTGTGGCCAGAAGCCTGCCGCTCAGGACACCCTGGTGCAGGTGGACGTGAAGCCAGTGTGCAAGCCTGGCTGGCAAGGTGGGCCTGCTTTTGTCAGTCCTCTGAGGAAAGGCAGCTGGACCTGGTGCATGGAAGCTGCTAGACCTATCCTCAAATCGGCATGACTCGGGGCTAGAGGGATTTTTAAAGTGCAGTCACTCTGCTGCAGGAAATAGAGTAGCTGGTTTATTCTGACAGCTCCTAGGGTTATAGTATCTCCGTTTCACAGGTGAGAATGCCCGAGGTAACTTGTCTAAGGTCACATGCTCCGTTTGTCCAGTGTGCTCTTTCTCAGATCTCATGGCATCTTTGGATCAATAGTAATTACCCACGGTGCTCAGCAGGTGGCCAGCGAGCCTGTTCACTTTATCGCAGAGTGCTGAGTCGGGCTGGTGCATTTCAAATGTGGCCTCATTACTCAACACCCCGGGCAGGGGGGGCTTGCACAGAGGGCATCCAGGCAGAGGCTGGAGAGCCACACCCGGCCTCTAGGCTAAGGGGTTTCTAAAACGTTGGCTCTGGGAATGGCGAGACAATGCCTCGGATGGAGGATCCGCTCTGTGCTCACTCAGATCTTTAGGGTGCAGGGATAGAACGAAGGTCTGGCGGAGGTTTGTCACCGAGCAAAGGGGAAACCAGGAGGCAAGGCCAGCTGCGTAGATGGTCTTACAGAGAATTGGATGGATGGTGCATGGAATAAGAACGGCTCTAGCAGTGACATTGATGGTTCCGGTGGCAGAGCAGTTACCTCTGGGCTACTGTTTTGGCTGCTTGACTGCTCCTGTTTCTGCTTCATGTGTTGATGTTATGGGAGGCTACTGCTTATCCATGGCTCACGGTGCTTCGTGGAGTCCTCCACTCTGTGGCTGCTGTTTATTGCCTTCCCTAGGTGTGTCTTTAAGCTTCAGGCCCCTGTTATATTTTCTCTCCCTCCCTCCCTTCCTCTCTTCCTCTCTCTCTCTCTCTCTCTCTCTCTCTCTCTCTCTCTCTCTCTCTCTCTGTGTGTGTGTGTGGGGGGGGGGGGATGTAGTTCTTAAATTCCCTCATAGAGGGTGCAATTCACTGTGTTGGTCAGTCACATCCCTATGGGGCAGACTGATGCCAGGCCACCATCTAGGTCACTGGCCGGACTCTGAATAGTAGTCAGGCATTTATCCCTAATCCAATTTATCAGGGCCAGACTAGCAAGACCTCGGGGTGCAAAGCAAGGGCACCTGGGGTCACTCCCCTCACAAGGCAGCTCTCAAAGTGCTCCTCTGCTGCACAACCTGTCCCCCTTAATCTTTCAACTGGAAAGCTGGGAGGAGCAATAAACCCACCTCTGGACAGAGTTAGGGTCATTTGCCTTTGAACAAAGAGGTGATGAGCTCAGTAAGACACATGAGACATGAAGAACAAAGTGGAGACGTCTTTGTGTCGGTCCATTTAGGATGAAGCAAGAAACAGAGAAAGAGGGACAAGCAACCGTGACAAGCTGTGTTCCCAACCTCAGGGAGCCTGAGCTCTGGTTGGGGATAATTCACTGAGGACCCTGAGGACAAGATTCTGTCTCTCTTGTTCACCAGCAAATTCTTCAGGCTTAGCACATGTCTGGTCCCGACGTTAGGTGCTCAAGAAATAGCTGTTGAAGAATAAATGAGCTAGCCAAGTAAAGAACTCCCTTGTTTTATTTTAAGTTATAAGAACTGGCCCCAGTGAAGGTCTGGCTTTTGAAGAGAAAGGCCTGGAAAGAAGATAAAATCTTTCTAAGCATAAAAGAAGCTCACAGGGGGATTTTAAGCAGGAAAAACCAAAGCCAAGCCTCGTCTGGAGAACGGTCCCAATGGCTTTTGTCTTTGATAAATGAGACACCTGTGACTTGGGATTACATTTCTGTAACTGTATTTAAATGTAATTTTCTAACAGAATTGGTGCTTGTTTCAGTGTTAAATGTATGCAAAGAAAAACATTTTAATAACGTTCAGTTCTGTGTGCGAAGGCTGAAGGGCACCTCCCCACTGGTGCACAATGCTCTTTGCGGCTCTAGACAGTGATCTCCTGAAGTGCCCATTCATTGTTGTGTCTCCAGCGCCCAGCACAGGGCCAGACACAATTCAGGTGATTAGCAAGTGTTGAATGGACAAATGGTGAAAAATCATAAGTTTCTTCCCTGGCCGGGTTGCTAAGTGGTTAGAGCATCAGCCCACGGACTGAAGTGTCCCAGGTTCAGTTCTGGTCAAGCGCATGTACCTCAGTTGCAGACTCAATCCCCAGCCCCAGGGCATGTGTTGGAGGCAACCAATCAATGTGTCTCTCTCCCATTGATGTTTTTCTCTATCTCTACCCTTCCCTTCCACTCTCTGTAAAAATGAATGGAAAAACACCCTAGGGTGAAGGTTAACTATATATGTATATGTATATGTATATGTATATATATATGTATATGTATATGTATATGTATATGTATGTGTATGTGTATGTGTATGTGTATGTGTATATGTATATGTATATGTATATGTAGCTTCCTGTGGAACAGAGAAAAGCGGGAAGCAGCAACTCCATGTATCAGTTCACCATGTCAGGCAAAGTGACTCAAGCATGTGTAACATCAGAATCAACCACTTTAGTTGGCTTCCCTGCCTTAGTCAGCCAGCCTTTGGTGGCAGAAGCTGGCATTGGATTCTGCATCGCGCCCCTCCTCCCTCCAGCTTACCCCTGTACACAGCTATAGTCCCTCTCCCAGCCATTGTCCCAGCAGGCTTTCAGATCATAGGGCCTCCGGCTTCTTAGGTATGTGGAGGTCAAAGTGCGTCCCTGCCATGCCTACTCCAGCCTCCGTATCTACAGGAAATTCTTCTCTCCTTCCAGCATATGGCCCACTTTATTCTTCCACTTGGGCAACCTCATCTCTGACCCATCTTGGGGCCTGTTCTCTCTTCTACCCTCGGCCAGGGCTACAGCCTTATAGCTGGAAATACATCTTTCTCCAGGGACAAGCAAACCACCACTTGTCCCAGATGTGTTTCTCGTCTGGCCCCTCTCCCAGCTTTGTAGGGCAAGCTGAGGGAGCCACAGTTTACTGGCTTTCTTTGCTAACTGCAGACGAGGCAGGCTGCTCCTCACTGTAAGAGGTAGCCAGGTCCTGGAGGGAAGATTGGCTCTTTTTGAAGCTGGTGTGGGTGAAGCCTGCACAGTATAGAACAGGAGAGGAGAACAGAGAGGGGAGGCCTTCAGGGCACCAGTGAACAGTATAAGGAAGCCAGTCTGGCTTGGGTTGGGACTGGGGAAAAGTGGGAAGCCAGATTGGAGCGATCAGGGGTAGGGTGGGTTGGGCAGTCAAGATTATGAATGCCAGAGTGGGGAGCTGCAAAGTTTCCAAACTCTAATCAACGGGAAACTCACAGAAGAGAACCCTGATACCCAAGGACCAAAGGTGGCGACTGCATAGAGACTGGTAGGAGGGGCAGAGGTGAGAAAGGGCTGGCTGGGCGCCCACAGACAGCAGCTGAAGTCCTGGAGAGATATCTCAGCTGTGGAAGGGTGCCACTGAGAACTCTGGGATCTAATCCCCAAGCGGGGCTCCCCAGCAGAGAGCACCAAATCTGAGAAGGTACCCACATAACATCTAGCTGTGAAAAGCAGCAGAGTGCTGCTGCCAGGAAGTGGCAGCTGAAAGTTCGGGTACCCTCTTGAAAGGTCAATGCACAAAATTCCCTGTGGAGCCACCCACCTTGTGCTCTGGCAGAGGGAGGGTGAAGTGGACTGGAGCTGTGAGAGCAGAACCTGGTAAAGGAAAAAGTCACACAAGTTCAGGAGGCAAAGAGACCCCAAATAAGAAGAACCCAAACAGACCTACACCCAGACACATCATAATTAAAATGCCGAAAAATAAAGACAAAGAGAAATCTTAAAGGCAGCAAGAGAAAAGAAAACTGTTACCTACAAAGGAGTTCCCATAAGGCTGAAACTTGATTTCTCTTCAAAAACTCTATAGTCCAGAAGGGAATGGCATGAAGTACTCAAGGTAAGGAAAGCAAGGATCTGAGACCAAGATCACTATATCCAACAAGGCTTTTATTCAAAATAGACAGTCAAATAAAGAGCTTCCCAGACAAAAAAAAAAAAAAAAAAAAAAGGCTAAAGGAGTTTACCATCACCATGCCAGTATTACAAGAAATGCTAAAGGGATTGCTGAGAAGAAGAAACAGAGAAAGAAACCTAGCCATACAGAATTGAAATAGCTATAAATAAGTATCTCTCAATAATAACCATAAAGGTAAATGGATTAAATGCCCCAATCAAAAGGTGTAGGGTAGCTGAATGGATACAAAAACATGACCCAACTATATGTTGTCTACAAGAGACCCACCTCAAAACAAAAGACACACACAGGATGAAAGTGAAGGGATAGAAAAAAATTTTCCATGCAAATGGAAAAGAAAAAAAAAGCTCATATCCGACAAAATAGACTTTAAAATGAAGGCCATCACAAGAGACAACAAAGGTCACTACATAATACTAAAGAGATCAATCCAACAAGAGGATATAACCTTGGTAAACATATATGCACCCAATATAGGTGCGCCTAAATATATTAAAAAAACTTCTGGAGGACTTTAACAGAGAAGTTGACAACAATAGGACATAGTAGGGGACTTTCATACCTGTCTGACTTCACTCAACAGATCTTCCAGACAAAAACTTAACAAGAACACAGAGACTCTAAAGGACACACTGGATCAAATGGATTTAATAGACATTTATAGAACATTTTACCCCAATGCAGCAGAATATACATTGTTCTCAAGTGCACATGGATCATTCACAAAGATAGCAGGTGTGCCAGAAGAGGCAGAAGACCACATGTTAGAACACAAAACAAGTCTCTACAAGTTCAAGAATATTGAAATCATATCAAGCATCTTCTCAGATCACAGTGGAATGAAATTAGAAATCAGCTACAGTAAAAACACCCAAAATCATTCAAACACATGTAGGCTAAATAGCATGTTATTAAGCAATGAATGGGTTACCAACAAGATCAAGAAAGAAATCAAAAA